CAAATCTCTGCTAACATATTCTTTCACATGTGTACCCTGGGCCCGAGCCCCTTTGCTTCACAGTCAATCTTTCTTGCAAGTCAGGACTGGAGGGTTGGGGAGCTCCTTCAAAAAGAACACAGTTCCCATTTACTTTAAAGCACAAGATAAATACCAGCATTTGGATCTGTATAGAAGGCTTGCTGTCCTTTTGCACTTTTGATTATAAAAATACCTGGACACCATCCCACAAGAAGTTCTCCTATGCAGCCCTCCCTTGGAATAAGTGGGGGCTTGCAAGAGGCATGTGCCTTTCCTAAGTGTGGAGGGAGGGGTATACCCTGGAAGTAGGCTTATGAGTTACACCTCTCAAAGCAGGTAGGCACCCACTTTTGTGGACTCATTCAGACTAGCAGACTTGGTGGGCTACAGGCAGGGCAGGTCTGTATACCAGGGTGCTTGATTCATTTCGTCTTGCCAACTGTGCCCACGTAATTTCCTCTGAAAGGGTCTGCTTCAAAATAATCGACTCCCAAATAAATAGCCCTGGATTTCTTTTCTGCATGACATGATCAAATTTTCATAAAGCGTGGGGGCAGCTTTGGAGAACAGAACTCTTAATAAATGACACGATTATGGAGTGGGGACTGGGGGAGGGTGTAGCCTTCTCGCCCGTCGGAGGATTTATTAAGAAGCCTGTGCATTCAATTTTCTGCATGTAAGTAATTATCTTTGATTTCATTTCCCGACCTCCTTTCCAGAAAGCTGCAGCGGCGAGAAAAGCCCTCCGGGCTCCTCGGCTTCCAAGAGGGCCCGCACAGCTTACACCAGCGCCCAGCTGGTCGAGCTGGAGAAGGAATTCCACTTCAACCGCTACCTTTGCAGGCCGCGCCGAGTGGAGATGGCCAACCTGTTAAACCTCAGTGAGCGGCAGATCAAAATCTGGTTCCAGAACCGGAGGATGAAATACAAAAAGGATCAGAAGTCAAAAGGCCTCGGGTCATCCTCGGGGGGGCCTTCCCCCACTGGGAGCCCGCCCCAAGCCCTGCAGTCCTCTGCAGGCTTCCTGAACGCCCTGCACCCCATGACTTCGAACTATGAAGCTCCGTCTCCGCCCTCCTTCAACAAACCACACCAGAATGCCTACGCCATGCCCACTGCCTACCAAAACTCCATCAAGGGATGCCCCAGCCAACAGAAGTACGCCAACACGGCACCTGAGTACGATCCTCACGTCTTACAGGGTAATGGGGGTGGCAGCTATGGCCCCCCCAATATGCAAGGCAGCCCAGTCTACGTGGGTGGCAACTACGTGGATTCTATGCCCAACTCTGCCTCGTCGCTTTACGGGCTGAACCCCCTTCAGCATCACCAGCCCCCCAGCATGGAGTACAACGGGGGCCCCCAGATGGGTTCCAACCAGCACCACGGGCCTTGCGAGGCTCACCCGACCTATACGGACCTTTCTTCTCACCACGCTTCTACTCAGGGTAGAATCCAAGAGGCGCCCAAGCTGACCCATCTGTGATGAGGGGCAGGGCAGACTCGGTGGGGAGTTAACAGAGAAGGGAGGCGGACATGGGGTTGGTGAGTCGGTGGATAGACTGGTTGGTTGAACCGTGGGCTTTCTTTGCAAAAGAGAATGGACACACAAACATTTGTGTTGAAACCCTTTATGAAACCCTAAATCTGTTGCTTAAGGGGCACAGTTTATTCATGCTGTGTCTTGCCATTCTTGCCAGCTTGATTGGAGTGGCTCCCCTAAGGTGAAAAAGAGCTTAGGAGGCTTATGGTTGTGCCCTGCTCTTTGAGGTGGGAAGTATTCCCACCTCAAAGAAAGGTGAAGGCAGTTGACAGCCTGGTGTCCTTCATGTGGTTGAGATAACAGTCCTCAGATTAAAACAAACAAAACCTAGGGCTCCTGAGCCCCTGGTTGAGTTCTAGAAGGCCCTATTGTAAGCCCAGGCTAGGGATGGGCAGACTAGTGGAACCCAAAAGTGTGAAAAAGTCAATAAGATTGTGGGAATCAACTTCCATTTTCCTCAGCGTGAGAACTTACTTTGAGAAATGCATCTTAAACCCACTTCATCATTTGTGTTCTAATCCACTTTAGGCGGAGGGAGTAGAGAGGGGGTCAGAGTGAACTTGTGCTTTCGTGGACACAACTTTTGCAGGTTTTGTGAGTAG